AAAATTGTTAATAATAATGTGTACACTAAAATAGATAATTTTATTTATATACAGATATAAATATCACTGGCTAATTACAATTCTATTTTAATTTTTTTATCTAATTCAAATTTTTATATATAATATTTATATAAAAATAATTAATTAAAAAATAATCTTATATTACAATTTAAATTGTTTATTATAAAGTCAGAATTTATATATTTCAAAATATCAATTTATAAAAAATTCAAATATAATTTATATATTTAAATATTTTATTTATTTATGTATAATATTTATTATAAATTTTTATTATATATAATAAATATTTCAGCTGAAAAATATACTAAAATATTAGTTACACTAATATGTACATAGCTGAGCACAACCCTTCGAAAAATCAAACATAAAAATAAAAATGTCTACCCAATATTAGAAGTGCGAATTTTTAAGACAACTTTGCTATCCAACCAAAAATTCAGATTGCACTACTCTTCCAACCTAATCATGGAGTATGGGACAAACCAGATATCGCATGGTTAATTTTTTTAGGGTTTAGAGTTTAAGGTTTACTTTATAATTATATTATAAATATTACAATTAATATGCATATATTATTTTTAAAAAACTACTAATTTGCTCATTTGCTAATACAATTATTAGTTATATAGATAGGTTAAACCCTTAGTTGAGAGTGCATGACTTAACTTATATCTAATTTTTTATTAATACGAATTGGATTTGATATTATGGAGTTTACTAATATAGTTAGACTTTTCTAGTCATCCAATTTACCTCATGTCAATTTTTTTTATTAATCAAATTAAGATTTTTTTAAAGTATTTAATTAATTTAAAATATTAGACTTCGGACTATCTAAAACCTTTTTAATCTTAATAGACTGATTTTCTTAAGTATATTATTAGTATTATAATATTTTGATGTTATATACTTGTTTTATTTAAAAATTTAGGTTCAGCAATCTTTTATAAATTTAGGCCAGCCTTTATTATATTAAGTACCCTTTTTTTCTTAAGTGTTTGTTTTTATGTTGCTTATTATTTTATGAAACTTTATTAGCTCGATATTAAAAATAGTCTATTAAATAAAGTTTAATTATAAAAAATAATTAAAAAGAAAAATAAATTAGGCTAGATAGTTAATCCAACTCACACGAACTTATAAATTTTTGAACTAAATTGGATCGGGTAAAGTTAATTTTTTAGTTCTGAATTGAGAGGTTGGGTGGTTCACACAATGATTATGCAAATTATTTGGCTAAACTTAGTTCTAATTGAGATGATTATCTTTTTATTCATGACCGTGGTTATATGTTAGAGATAAATTATGGTGTATTTGTTTTTCTAGCGATATATTTATTAATAAGATGGTTATATTTTGATGTTTTATATTTTTTTAATATAATTTTTTATTAATAAGATATTATTTATTTTAAAATTAAACTTTCATGATTTTTTTAATAATCTTTTGAGATTAAACTCTCATGATTAGATTCTCAGATTTTATAAATATTAAATAGATAAATATTTTTTTTAACTTAAATTTTTTATATTTAAATTTAAATCTTAACTACTTAATTAAATAACATAATTCTCTCATCATTAATATATAGTATTTCTTCTTTTATTCAAATGATATTAGGACTTAGGTTTCTATCCTAAAATTATATTATTATGATGTTATCTGTGTTTCAATTTCTGGTTTTTATCATACATTACATAAAAAAAATCCTAAAATTTTGAAACACCATTATACTGTGTTTTCAATGCTTTGTTTAGTTGATAAAAAATAAAAAATATAATTATGAAAAATAAAAATATAATTATGAAAAAAAATTTTACTTTATTTAGTTAGAGAAAAAGAACAAGAGAAAAAAAAAATAATTACACAACTCATTATTATTTTAGGTTTAATTGTATTTTTGATTCCTCAAATATTATAATTGTACAATTTTAATCCTTAAGATTTTAATTGAGTAATTTTAGTCCTTAAAAAATTGTAATTATGTGATTTTAGTCTCTTAATTTTTAATTAAACAATTTTAGTCCCTCAACTATTATAATTTTATGATTTTAATTTTTTCTATTAAAAATTTAATAATTTTAGAATATATATATATATATATATAATATTTTAAAATTATACAATTGTTT